TCTATGTCCTTCCACGCTCAAGGTCTACGTGGCGGCCATTGCGGCTTACCACGCCCTGGTGGGGGGTACATCGTTGGGTCGAGACCCCCTGATTACACGTTTCCTTCGTGGCACTTTGAGGCTAAGGCCTGCAACTCGCACTAGGGTGCCAGCTTGGGATCTTGCTTTAGTACTAGAAGGCCTGTCTAGGGCTCCATTCGAGCCCTTAGATTCGGTTTCAGAGAAGTTTCTTACCTTTAAGACTATCTTTCTGCTAGCTATTTCGTCCCTTAAGAGAGTTGGAGACCTTCAGGCCCTTTCGGTTTCCCCCACTTGCCTTGAGTTTGCACCGGGGATGGTCAAGGCATTCTTATATCCAAAACAGGGATACGTCCCTAAGGTGCCGACCTTGACTCCGAGGCCTATTGTGCTGCAGGCTTTCTGTCCTCCTCCTTTTACATCTGCGGACCAGGAAAGGCTGAACCTCTTGTGTCCAGTGCGAGCACTGGATACTTATGTTCATCGGACATCGTCAATGAGGAAGTCCGACCAGTTATTTATTTGCTTTGGATCACCTAAGAAGGGTCTTCCTGCTTCTAAACAGACGGTTAGTAAGTGGATAGTTGAGGCTATTTCACTTGCATACGAGTACTCTGACCTGCCGTGTCCTTTGGCGGTCAGAGCTCATTCTACGAGGGGTATGGCGGCCTCTAAAGCCTTACTATTTGGAGTTTCTCTTCAAGACGTTTGTGATGCGGCAGGCTGGTCCTCACCGCTCACATTCGTTAGGTTTTACAGCTTAGACCTGGATGCTGCCCCAGGTTCTCAGGTGCTTAGTGCTTAGTTTCAACAGACTGACACTCAGGTACTTGGAATTCTGGCGTTTTGGGTATTCTCGTTCCCAAAGCGTCAAGTGACGCATCGAGAGTTCCCTCGAAAGGGAACGTCTCAGGTTACGACTGTAACCGTAGTTCCCTGAGAAAGGGAACGAGACGATGCGTCACCCTGCCATACTTCCTGCTTCCCTGTGATCGGCTTGCTTCGACTTTTTGAAGCTAATGCCGCGTTTCACCGGGTGAGCCTTTATCCCTTCCTGGTCATGACGTCACCCGCCCGTGACGCTCATTCTTTCCATTGGACTAGTTGACATTGATGCTCAGACGCATGCACGCTGGGGGCGTTCCCAAAGCGTCAAGTGACGCATCGTCTCGTTCCCTTTCTCAGGGAACTACGGTTACAGTCGTAACCTGAGACGTTTCCCTCATTTCAGGGTTAACATACTCAGAGTTTTCACTTAACCTCCTTTCTGAAACAGGCCCCAGGTCGCACAATGGGACAAAGAGATCATTGGTTTTTTTTTTTTTTTTGGTGAGAGAGAAAGAAATGCACAGCCAGCAAAGAGATTTACCTAAACATAATCTGGTTTCTTTTCTTTTAGTGTAAGATGTCACAATGGAATATTTTAAAGCCTATTTAAATCTACTCAACCAAAGACTTTTCAGCCAAACATAAACAGTAATAAAAATATAAAGCAAAAAAATTGGTAATAAAAAAAATAAAAAAAATAATCCCTTGTCATGAAAACAGTCAAGCATAACATTTTCATTTAAAAGTTATCTTCATTATAATCTCTTGTTTGAACACCACTGCGGTTTTGCGGGTTTGGAGATCAAAATTCATTAAAGATATTGTAATTTAATACTTAATTGTTTGAAACCAATATAGAAAAAAAAAACACTTCTTGACAACTGACATTTCTGTAATTGGACGTTTGACTCAAAACCTTCCAGTTACTGAGATATAACTCTGGTGACAACTTCTCAGTGGCACAATATGCGTCATGTCAATGAAGCTAAGTCTGTCTCTATCTAAAAGGAAAAAACAGACAGAGAGAGGCAGATAAATCAGAATTTGTTTTTTAGCTTTGATGTAAAGACAGCATTCATATTGCTATTACTATACTTCCAGTAGCTAAACTTCTGAGTCAGTTTCAGCGGTTATTGTGTCTTGCTTTAACAAGTAGATCAATAATCTATTTGTCCTTGAATGATGGGAAGAGCTGCTGCTCATTTTTACAGGTGTAGTGGAATGGAAAATTTCTCTTGATTTGTGACACAAGGTATATACACGCGCACACACACACGCACACACACACACACACACACACACACACACACACACACACACACACACACACAAGGGCGTTGTGTTTTCGTGTTTTATGGGGACTTTCCATAGACATAATGGTGTTTATACTCTACAAACTGTATATTATATCCCCTAACCTACCCATCATAAACCTTAAAAAAACATAATTTAGTCTGATTTATAAGCTGTTTTCCTTATGGGGACCAAAAAATGTCCCCATGTGGTCCAGGTAAACCCTACGTTATGAGGACAAAATGTCCCCACAAAGATGGCAATATCCAAAATCCTTGTCCTTGTGGGGACATTTTGTCCTCATATAGGGTTTACCTGGAACACACACACACAACATAAAAACAATTTTAGTGTAAATATGCTGTTACTGCCTTGATAAATCAAGATAATGTATGTACAATATATATATATATATATATACACATTTCAGAAGGAAAAAATGTGTAAACGACTCTATGATAGAAAAGATCATTTCAGCTGACTGCCTCACTTAGGCTAGATGTAATCCAAAGAGCTTTTCTGTTTACAGAAAGTATTGAGATTCTTTAACGTGTCTAAATCTACATCCTCAAAAGGCCTCAGTAAATCAGACTGTCAACACAAATCAAATTAGGCAGGTAGACTACAGCGATATGTCAGGCAGGTGGCTGGTCATCGCTCTCCTTTGATGGGTAAATTACATTTGGCATCCACACAAGCTATTAATAGACACACACACACACACACACAACAACAACAATATGTTTGATCTTGATAAAAGAAAGATTATAGCAATCTGACAACAGACTATAACATAAATCATGCTTTATCTCTGATGTTGCTTGATTCAAAGGTTTTCAGCATTAGTGTGTTTGATTTGTTGTGTAACCAGAAACCATAATTTGCTTAAGGTGAATATGCTGAATGCAAAGAGGATAAAAACGTCCCTGATGTTCAGTTGCATTTGGAGTAATCCATGAATGTGTGTGTGTGTGTGTGTGTAGCCTTCATTTATTCTGTACCATTGCTGCACGGATGTGAAGACTCAAATGCATCTGATGTGCAGTGTATTGCATTTGGATAACTGGATAACTTATCTCAACACAAAATAACATTTTAATAATCGGAAGAATCTTTTTCCGCTATAAGTACCTTTTGTCCAATAAAAACGTGCCATGGACGTTAAAGGATGTATCCATAGATATCAATAAAGAACCTTTACTTTAAAGTGTGTATACATAAAGTTAAGATCAGGAACGTGTATTCTTTTGAATTAATGTCAACTAAGTTATTAATTACTGTTTATATATTTTTACACCATTGGTCGCCAACCATCGATTGCGATCGACTGGTAGCCTAGATCTGAGCTCCCGAAAAAAATGGAAAAATAAAATACACAAATAGCTTACATTATGCTTGACTATATTTGTTTAATTTACTGTCCATCGAGCCTCTCTAAGGCGCTGAAACACCAAATCATGAGTTGCAAGCATATAAATTAGGCTACTTGCTTCACTCTGAAACCGGCAGCATAGGCCTATGTGCCGGAAAACCGGCAACAATAAAAGCTTGATTGTTTAAAGTTTGAAAATTACGAAGTGAAGACATAAATATTAGTACTCTATTTTTACAGTGCACTATACATTTTTTTAATAGGCTACTCAATTGTTTAAGTTATGGTAGTATCATGATTTATAGTAGTTTTACAAATAATGCTGCATAAGATGGGATGGGACATAGAACTGCACTTAGCTTAATTGAGAATTTTGTTCGCACACATTTTAAGTTCTAGTTTATAAAATGACAATGGTACATGTAGCCTAATAAATTCAGAAGCTTCAGTGGATAAGCATGAAAGTGAACAGTGGCACTTCAATGATCTGCTCACTAAGTGGTTGCATCAATAAAAAAAAAAAAAAAAAAAAAAAAATCTGAAATTCAAACACAATTAAATAAGTGCAATCTGGGCTATTTGTTTTTTTTTTCCGCTCAACTCTTCCATTGCTCTCGCCTTTCATCAAGGCCGAGGTCAGGGATCTTGGGCTTAAAAAGGTTGATGACCTCTGCTTTACACCACACATCCCTATTATAGTGCATTACATTGTATTTGTTGTGCATGTACTGAATACTGGCATGTGTATGGTATATTGATTGTTTGCACTATCATGAATAACTAAAGCCAAATTCCTTGTATTTATAACTTCCTTAGCCAATAAACGCGAATTGTCATTGTGAAGTTCCGCCCTCCCCTGTTGAATAACACACACCTCAGTATCCTGCGAGGAGCTTCAGACGCTGCGAGAGAAACGCTCAGTGTACAGGGGAACTGAAGAGACAAAGAGCAGCCTCACACACTCGCGCTGAGGGGTCTGAAGGACACCCTGGCCGTCCCTGCAACCATTTCGGCTATTTTATTTCATTCTCTTGCAACGAACTAGATAACACAGGAACAAAAGAGCTTTGGGTTTGCGAGCAAAACATTTTGTAAATCTGTCTGTCCGAGGCGCGCCCGTCAGTTTGGGTTCACCACACAGGCTCTGAGCAACATAATCTGATTAAGTTGCAAATGTTCTACTGGTGAACATACAGAGGTGGAGAAAATCCAGCCAGATGTTGAAACGCATCTAGACTAGTTTTTTGTATCCATCAATTGTTGGGCAAATCGCTGGACAGACGGATGCGCTAATCTGTGATCGGACTGACGAAATTCATCCAGAACTCTGAGCATCGGTTTGTGAAACTCAAATGAACAGATGAGTGAAGACAGACTGAGTGTTTCAGGACCCGAGCCGCTGGACAGCGCCTGTGGAGAGTTTCCTGCTTTCATCTCCAACGAAGGAACATGTCTCTTTACTCCTTTTCCGTAAATAAACAAACGACTGCTTCCCTTTAAACTGAGATGATACGCAGGTAATGAGAAGAGAGGAGAAATCACTGTATGGTGAAATATAGGTAAGACTATTGTCTTTTCTTATTATTTTTCAAATTTTCATTAGTCCAGGTCTATCGTTACAATTTCCTCTGACTATTTCTCAGGTTTTGAAAGTCAATGTTTATGTTTTATGAATTGAATATTTCCACCGCCAAGGGGTTAATTATGGATATAACCATGGAATCTGCCGTCCATACTTTAACTTTCTTCTATCTAAAGTACAAAAGCTATCTTCCACAAAAATGTTTCTAAGGCTATTTAGGTTTTACAAAATGTAACCAATTAAAAAATTGTGGAGCAAAAACAGTTAATGAAACAGCCAATGAGGAAAAAACAAAAAAATATAAACATAAAAAAAATATTAAATGGTAAAAATGTATTTTGGTGTATTATATGTACAAGTTTGCTATAGTAATAACAACAGTAAATGATGGATAATTATAAGCAAGTAATCCTAAACAAACCCCAACCCTAAAACTAGTATCTATGTTTTATATATATATATATATATATATATATATATATATATATATATATATATATATATATATATATATATATATATATATATATATATATAAAACATAGATACTAGTTTTAGTTTTACAACCCTAAAACTAGTATCTATGTTTTATATATATATATATATATATATATATATATATATATATATATATATATATATATATATATATATATATATATAAAACATAGATACTAGTTTTAGGGTTGGGGTTTGTTTAGGATTACTTGCTTATAATTATCCATCATTTACTGTTGTTATTACTATAGCAAACTTGTACATATAATACACCAAAATACATTTTTACCATTTAATATTTTTTTTATGTTTATATTTTTTTGTTTTTTCCTCAATACAATGTTTTTGTTCAATACAAGCATATATTTTTATGCAAATAATACACTATGGGAATACTGAAAAGCACATTTTTTCTTTAGCCCCGTTGGAGCCAACTAATATATATATATATATATATATATATATATTAGTTGGCTCCAACGGGGCTAAAGAAAAAATGTGCTTTTCAGTATTCCCATAGTGTATTATTTGCATAAAAATATATGCTTGTATTGAACATTAATGGAGCAACAGATTTTGTCTGAAAATAAATCCTAAAAGTGATTTATTTTGTATAAAAATCGTATAAATGTATGAGGTGCTGAGGGGGGCCTTTTACCACACACCCCATGTGGCTTACCAGCATGGGGCAAAAGGCACACATTATTTATACAAATATGTAAGCTAAAATTATACGTTTTAACAATGTCTAAGTTAGTACTTGTTCAAAATAACCACTTTAGCAAAGTTTGCACTATTTTCTATTTATTTTGATAATAAAATAATTATTTTTTTGTTCAATAAATACACTGTCGTTAAAATATACACTTAATATAAAAATATATTTTAAAAATGCATAAACAAAATTATTTTAAAAGTAAAGATCCTGAAAGCATTGAATGAGATATATAGATTTAGAGTAGTAACATTAAATCATATTTTATTATATGATGTGATTAATATCATATTTTTAAATATGATGGTTTGATTATAATTATGGTGATTATCTCTAAGGAGAACACCCAACTTAATATATGATACTATACTATCTCAATCTAACCATGTCATGTCAACAAATGGAAAAGTCAGCCAGCTCTTTATTATCATGTTGATTATTATGCCTTTTACCCCAAATACCATACTTTTACATATTCTTCCGTTATTGAAAAACTATTGCTTTAATTGAAAATCATTAAGAAGACATTTGTCTCAAAATATATTCAATAATTTAAATTATTCTCATTTGCTGCTAACATCAAATGTTACCATATTAATATATCAAATTATCGCAGAATCAACTTTGCTGCCAACAATCATGTCAGGGATCAGCCAAATTTCCACGTGCATCTTGAAAAGCGTATGTTTTGGAAAGTGCTGCGCAAGTTTTTTGTGCCATCTACTGGTTTAGAGGAAAATAAAATCAAGGGAGCCTTTTACCCGTGGAGCCTTTAGCCCTGTTGTACCCTACGTATCTGTGTAATATTAAAATAAACTGTAACCTATAAAACCACTGTTCCAGTGAAATTGTAATAAATCAACCTGAATACATTTACAATAAAACACGCGTGAAAACTTGCCCCCACCTGACATATCAGCCTTTCAGTAATTTGACTTTTGACACAGAAGCTTGTACGGTAAGAGATAAAGACCAAGTGATAACTTCTTCATGTGACAACTAACTTTCAGTCTCTTCTATTTTGGTTTTACTCATAACATCTTTATTCACTGAAAAGGTCATGACAGGTCTAATACACTGCTAAAATATCAGACAGTCAAGATAGTTTTACTGCTGTCTCTGCAGGATAAAATGTCTGCACTTCGTAAGAAATTTGGAAGCGACTATGAGGTAGTGACCACCAAATCCTCCAGCCATCAGAAGGACAAGAGGAGGAAACGACAGCGATTCGTGGACAAGAATGGACGATGCAACGTTCAGCATGGAAACCTGGGTGGAGAGACCAGCAGATATCTTTCAGACTTATTCACAACTTTAGTAGACCTCAAATGGCGATGGAACCTCTTCATCTTCATCCTCACATACACAGTGGCCTGGTTATTCATGGCTTCAATGTGGTGGATCATTGCATACATCAGAGGTGACCTGTACCGAGTCCACGATGAGAAGTACACGCCATGCGTGGCCAACGTCTATAACTTTCCCTCTGCTTTCCTCTTCTTCATTGAGACAGAGGCCACTATAGGATATGGCCACAGATACATCACCGATAAATGTCCAGAAGGAATCATTCTCTTCCTATTTCAGTCTATCCTGGGCTCCATAGTGGATGCCTTTTTAATAGGCTGTATGTTTATTAAGATGTCTCAACCGAAGAAGAGGGCAGAGACTCTGATGTTTAGTGAAAACGCAGTCATCTCAATGCGTGACGGCAAACTCACGCTGATGTTCAGGGTGGGAAATCTGCGCAATAGTCACATGGTTTCAGCACAGATCCGATGCAAAATACTCAAGGTAATAGCCTGCCTTTTGTCACATTTGAGAAATTGTTAACTTGTTAACTAACTACATATATATATATATATACATTAACAGCATGTAAATACAGTAATGTGTTGCCTAATATAATGTTGTGAAGCTGCATGTAAATATACTTTTTGTGTGTTTGCAACTATCTCTGTCTAATATGGACACTGTAGAGAAAACAAAATGTTTTAATCATTTGTGTTGGCATATATTTCAAAACATGAACTCTACTGGTCAAAAGTTTGGAATAATTAAAATGTTTTAAATTTAATGTTATAAAATAAGTCTCTTATGTTCACAAAGACTGCATTTATTTGATCAAAAATACAGTAAAAAAACAGAAATATTGTGAAATATGTTTACAATTTAAAATAACTTATTTAAAATGTTATTTATTCCTGCTGGCAAATCAGAATTTTCAGCATCATTACTTCAGGCTTCAGTGTCATTATCCTTCAGAAAGCATTCTAATATGCTGATTTGCTGCTCAAGAAACATTAGCATCAATGTTAAAAACAGTTTTTGCTGCTTGTTATTTTTGTGGAAACTGTGATACACTACCATTCAAAAGTTTGGCAAAGATAAAAAATGAAAAAATAAAAATAATAATACTTTTATTCAGCCAGCCCAGGACACATTAAATTGACAGTAAAGACATTTAAAATGTCACAAAATATTTCTATTTCAAATAAATGCTGTTCTTTTGAACTTCATATTCATTAAACAATCCTGAAAATTTCTTTATCATGGTTTCTTTCCACACAACCGTCACAGAAATAAATGCCATTTTAAAATATATATTCTAATAGAAAACAGTTATTTTAAATTGTAATCATATTTCACAATTAATTTACTGGTTTAATTGTATTTTTATTGTATTTATTTGCAAACCAAAAAATTGCAGCCTTGGTGAGCATAAGAGACTTCTTTTAATACATAAAATAAATATTCCAAACTTTTGACCGGTGGTTATTTTCTATACTGTAGCTGCTAAACTTTATTAGTGCTGCTGTATCAATATTTACCTGAAATATGTCTGATATGAGTACTGTAATGGAAAGTGTTACTCTGCCCTCTGTTGTCCATCTAGAGACTCAGCTAATGCTTGGATGTGATACTTGACATCCTCTCTTTTAATTAAAAAAAAGAGATTTTATTTAATTTAAATGTTAAAGATGTCAGTAAGAACAGTGTAAAAAAAAAATAACTTCAAAATAATGTGTTTTCAGTCCTTTAGACCCAGATGGGTTATGGCTGCCTTATATGCAGGCCTATATTTAAATACACCGGCCAAAATCTCGTACAATAACCAGGAGACATGCTGCATAGTATCTCCCTGACATCAAAAACTAAAACTAAAATAAAAATATAACATTGGTTCCTTTATTGTAAACGTTGAACTTTAATTTGATTTCCTACCTGTCTCTCCTTTGATGACTGACTGTCTGTCCTCACAGCTCACTTCACCGTACAGTTTGTAAAGCGATGTTTACGCCCCGTCTCCCCTCTTCTCGCTCCTGCAGTCCCGACAGACGCCCGAGGGCGAGTTCCTCCCCCTGGATCAGCTGGAGCTGGATGTGGGCTTCAGCACCGGAGCGGACCAACTCTTTCTCGTGTCACCACTCACAATCTGTCATGTGATCGACACCAAGAGCCCCTTCTATGAGCTCTCGCAGCGATCCATGCAGACGGAACAGTTCGAAATAGTTGTGATTCTGGAGGGTATTGTTGAAACGACCGGTAAGTTATTTTGTCTGCTACTTTAATCTTGTATTGTCTTTCGCATTTTGATTTTAAATTTAAAAGGCCTCTGAAATGTAAAGGATGGAATACACTACACAACCTTTGCCCTGGTTTTTGCCCTGATTTACAGTCTGGATGAGTCAACCCTAGTTGTAACTATTCTGGGCAGTAGACTTTTTTAGCTTCAGATTTTCATCCCATCCATCAGAGGATATCAGACATATTGATATTTTGAGCTGATTTTAGAACACGTCGTTTTCATTTTCCATGCGTCTCTTAAAAAACTAAGTGCATGTTTCTGCGTAATTTCTTTTTCATGACTGGTAGACAGTGTGTGATCATCCGTCATTTAGAGTGTGATGTTCAGATTATCTCTGTAACCCATAGCTGTCAACATTTGGTTTTCAAAATCCGGGAGATTTGGGGGGGGTGATAAAATTTACTAAATTTTTTTTTTTTTGGGGGGTTTGGGTTACAAAATGTACTTTTTTTTACTATTACTATTAGTAAAATTTACTATTTATTAAAAGAAAAAATAGGGGACTTTTATTTTTAAATAAGTTTGAGTTTTCCTACATCTTGAAACGTTCAAGTTTATAAATGGGGGTAATCTTTGAAGGATGAACAAATAATGTTTGGTCATCACATTAAAAATAACATTTAAATATAGGCCTATATTTATATATATAATATTTAGATAATATTTGAGTTTTGAAGTGCTGGAAAAAGATGTGTGAAGTACTTGAAAGCATTTCACTATTCCAGCCAAACTTGGTTACAGACAGTGTTACTACAGTAAATCCATGGTGAATGTTGCTGATCTGTGGACTTAAAACCTATAACTAGATCATTCACGGCACAATGTTTCTCCTGGTTTCCACGTCAGCCCTGTTTGATCTAATAGAGATCCACGGTTAATAATGGAGAAATGTGAATGCTTCTCACTAGATCTCGCAGCGATGTTATTACTTCAGTGGCGAACTCAAATGTTTTCTTCACTGGATCTCTTAACGCTGTGTTTGATCGAGATCGGCTCGCGCTGCACAGATGTTGCTGGTCCGAACTGATAAACGGTCCGTGTCCGTGAAGCACAATATAATGAGTAGCGCAGTTTCGTTCCGCTTTCATTACGTTTGCCATTTGATGTTGTGCAACGTTGTGGTGGTCGCGCCGTCTCGCCAGCGCGGATTTTGTCGGCAGAAAAATGGTCCAAGGAATCGTTCGGTTTGAATGCGTACCGAACTCGCACCAAAACGGTTCAATACGATTACATGTACCGTTACACCCCTAATTGTGTGAATATAATGCATTTAATACAAGATCTGGCAAGTGGTCAACATTAGACAAACATATTGGTCCGATTATTCATAAAGGAGTTTGGGCCATGCAAATTACGGGAGTTTCCCGGGAGAAATAACAAACCGGGAGGGGTCCGGGAGATAGGGCTAAAAAACGGGAGAAACCCGGGAAAAACGGGAGTGTTGACAGGTATGCTGTAACCATTTACAAAGTCAGCAAGTGTATATGTTCTGACCTTCTGTCCATATCTGTTCTGATTTTAAAAGTTGTGTAGAGTATTCCAGCCTTAAGCTGCATGCACAAGAACAAGGGACATTGTACTGTTTATTCACTTAGAAAGACTACCACATCCTGTTAAAGCGAGTTACTAAAATAGAAGGCATTGGGTCTCACTGGCCTTGAAGTGCACATGATTGATTTTTTTCTATTGATCAGCAATGAAGTTTAATTGTAGACATGCTGCTTGGGGAAGTTGGTAAAACCAGTGTGGTGTCAGTGTGTATCCCTTAGGATGAAAAGATAACATTTAACTAGGCTCAGTAGTTCACGCACATGTATTAAAATCAAAATGACAGTATGTCCTACACTACAGTATATCTGATTTTCATATTTATTTGATTGTTGTTTATTATGTCCATTTAGCTCTCAGTGTGCTACAATTTACCTTTATTTTTTTGTTTAAGGTAATAAAAAAGTTCAGAGCTTAATAGGTTTAAAAAAAGTAAAGCACTCGTATTGCATTCTGGAACACACTTTATTTGCCTTAGCTTTTGAAAATACTATATAAAGCTAATTTTAACGGGTGGTTGTCCGTTTTATAATTATATTCTATTTATTTAGGATTATTGAGATTATTATAAAACATAAAATAGTACTGTTGGATTTTTGGAGGTTGGCCAGCACTACGAGTTTTCGATCTAATAGTGTTAAAAAAAAAACTGGTGACTAATAGCATGCCGGCTTATTGATAATGCCTTTATGTTAACAGATTTGCCATTTTGTCAACAACCCAAAGGAGTCTCAAATACAGTACTCTTTTCCAATATCTCGTTATCCTCCTCCAGGGGCCTCATGTATAACATTTTACGTATGTCATCCTAAAAGTGTGCATAGACACAAAAGCTAGATTTTGCGTATACACAAAAGTTTTCAGATTTATAAAACCCTGCGTACGCCAGAACCTGTGCAAAATTCCCTGTATAAAACCCAGTCTGAAATAACCATATATTGAGCTTACTTCGCCTCGTTACTATGCATAACATCATCTGCATATCATTTCCATGCATATTCCCATCCACGTGATACCATGTTTAACACAAGACATTAGGAAAATATGAGATAAGGACTGTCTATGTGCCGTTACATTACATTACTAAAAATCATTCAGTATCCTTGCCTTGTTTTAGAATAAATAAATCAATATCGTATAGAAAACATTTCAGTGAAAGTTTTCAGAGAAGAGTTATTCTCAATCTAAGATTTTTAATGTAAACAGATAGGCCTTATTTTAAATAATTGTCTGACTCGGCTCATCATTGACAAAACATTTTAAAAACTAAAACCTAGAGATTGGCATGGTTTTATTTCAGTAAGCCTAATAGCTAGGTTTGATTTGCATTGAGAAATGATCTAATGGAAAGTACCCCATGCCAATCTCTAGGTATGGTGAAGGGTATGTGACGATGTGGGGCTATTTTAATTCCAAAGGCCAAGGGAACTTTATCAGGATGCATAGTACCCTGCATCCATGAAATAACTGGCCTTTAAAAAAAAAAAAAAATCTGCCTGCCTCTATGGGAATTTAACATTGGGGTGTCCTGACTTATGCACCCTGTATTTTAAGGAAGAACATTTATTTTTTTACATTACATTATTCATTCACTATATATGAACTATATATTGTCTATATATTACGGATTAACTGTGCATCATTATTCCTGTGAAAATATTTTGTTAGATCTACTATTTAAAACACAACTCAAAGCAGAATTATCATGCGCCAAGCAATCCTCGCTGTAGTTAAACCATTAAAACACAGCATGTTTGCGTGGAAAATTGATGTATAAACGTTGCGTACACACAAAAAAGCATTGAAATGTGCGGGCCCAACGTTTATACATCAGGCCCCAGGACCATTATTTTAAAGTAAAAAAAAAAAAAAATCAACCTATTTTTAATGAATCTGAAATGAATGATTCAATGACAAATACATTTTTTTTATTGTCCCTTCTCGCCACCTAGTGGCGTAACGATGTAATCGATACAATTGTTATTTGAAGCGCCATGTTACTTTCTAAAGGTGATTTACTCTATTTTGATAGCTTCCGTAGACATCAGTGTTTATATCCGAACTATATACTTTTATCTCAGTTCTTCTGTGTCAATATGAATATTTATAACAGAAATAACAACTGTGTGGTTAAAAATACTGTTTGTGAAGTTGTTTCATACCTAGGCTATACATAACCACCGTTCTCTCTGGCTCACCGGCAGCGCGAACACAGATTTGAATGTTCCGGTATGATTTTGTCAAAAGTTTAATAGACACAGGCGAATCGCTGTCACTTAGGAATGATATTGCGTGGGTGTTTGAATCGAGATTGCGATCTTTAAATGATTAAGTGTGAAGCTCTAATATATATATACACTGTGCAAAAGTCTTAGGCACGTTAGTATCTGATCTGATCTCACCACCATCGAGTCCTTCTAGGATTACATGAAAAAACAGAAAAACAACTTAAGCCTGGAACACACCAAGCGGTCGGCCGTCGGGCAGTTTTTGTGCGTCGGCCGACTAAGTTTCCTCGGTGTGTTCCGCATGGTCCGTGCCGTCGGCTGAAATTGGTCCTCGTCAGCTTTGTTTCGGCCGATTCGACATGTTGGAAAGAGGGACCTCTGATTGGCTGTTCAGCTTAGTGAAAAAGTCAATGAACGAGAATAATAGCAAAACAGCAAGCGAAGTCATCAAAGTAGTTCTCTCGGTGTATTCAAGTGCAGCTTTTTACCCCGACGCGAGGCGACAACACAGTCGGCTTTCATCAGCGCTAGTTCGTCGGCGTCGGCTTGGTGTGTTCCAGGCTTTAGAGACTAAATCCAGAAGAACTGCAGCAACATCTCCAAGACGCTTGAAGAAACCTGCCTGCACAGCTACAGTACTATGAAAAGTTTTGGCACTTGTAAAAATGCTGTAAAGGGACGATGCTTTCAAAAATAATGTCATAAATAGATTTTATTTATCAATTAACTTCTATTAACTAAATATAATCAATAGTTAGTGTGACCACCCTTTGCATTTAAAACAGCTTTTGTCGTACACTTGCACATCATTTTTCAGGTAGCATTGGAAGTTAGGTTTCTTCGAGCGCCTTGGAGACGTAAATAACTGGCTTATATATATATATATGTGTGTGTGTGTGTGTGTGCAAATCACTAGTAGTTCCTGCAGAGTGACTATGTAATACTTGAGTAATTGATGCATTTTATAACCATGTTCTGATAAAAAAAAGTCAATCTTCAAGAACTACTTTTGAATATATACATTTTAAATTCAGTCAACATAAATGTGAGATATTTATATAATATACTGGTCCTGAAAAATGATTGTAAAATTAACTGTGCAGTGCATTTTATATCTTTCACATATCTTTGATATCGATTCAATCACTGCAGAAGCCATTGAGTCCAATCCCCAACATCTA